CAGTCTCCCGTGTGGATAGGGACATGGGCCCTTGACAGCACAGTGTGGGTGGCTGAAGCTTGCCTTTCCCTGCAGCAGCAGCTGTAGATGGAGATTCCAGACAGCACGTGTCAGCAGCTCCCCCAGGAGCAAAGCTTATCCCCAGCCAGTTTATAATTACTTGCATTTGGCCAACTTCAAATCAAAAGAAAGTGTCCCATTTAAGTACTCAATCTCAGTGGACTTGGAAACTTAAACAAAATGCACTTCCTTGTAAAGCAAAATAACATTTAACTCTTTGGAGCTGGTTGATGATGAGCTGGTTGCACACAAACTGAGAAGGACCTATTTCTTTGGTCTCAGTATGTGCTTCTGCAGAGAAACCCCAAAACATTATGCCCAGGTAGTGAATGTTAAAAGGCATCCAGCTTTACTGCTGAGATGGGCACAGACTTATGGCAAAGTTTTGTTGTAGAGAATATTCTGAGCTCAGGCATGAGGACATACTTGTCGTAATTTACATGAATTATGTAAATTACGTAAACTCATAATTTATTCAGCGTTGTAAATAACTTCAGCAGCATTGCAGGGCATGTGTCCCCAGGAGAAGGTCAGAGAAGTCCTAGCAAAATTCTGCCTGGCCTTTGTGTCTCCCCCTCTCCTGACCCTGGCTGTGTCTGGCATCTTACCCTATTTGTGCATCCAGGCCATGAACTGGGTTTTATATTTTTATCTTCCAGGTTAGGGAGAGCAGACTATCTTTGCAGGCAAGCTAAGGGGGTCTAAGCATTTCCCCAGGGATCTCTGGGCAAGGACTGAGGCTACAGAGGAGGTGAAGGGACGGAGCTGCACAGAGCAAAGAGGCCTGGGGCTGTGGACAGGGATGGAACTGCCTGCAGTAGACTGGACAGGACACAGCCTGCATCCTGCCTGGAGCTGGGCAGACAGGGCCTGCTGCATCAATTAAAGTGCAAGAACCTGCTCAGCTGATTTACTGGGCTCCAGCTGTGGCTGAGGCAATGGTGGCCGTTGTGCCCTTCTCCACCTGGAATGTCTGAGCTGTTGAACATCCTAACCCAGATCTGGTTTTAAGAGTCTGATTTTGCGAAGAGTATTTTTGGGGAAAATATTTCTCCTTGGGGGAATGGGTGCAGCGGAAACTCTGCTTTCTTGTAGTGTCTATTGTGACAGCCCTTAACAACAGGCACCAGGCAGGCTAAATCTGATTCACTTTCAGTTTACACTTAAGCCTTGCCCTACCAGTGAGCTCTGTGAATCGGCTTTGGATTGCAGTATTACAGTGGCATTAGTGCAAGATGCGACACCCCAGTCACTGAGCAGCTTTCTGGGAAATCTTGTGAAAAAATAGTCTTCTTTCCACAGAACTAGAACATGTCATCCGGACTGCGAGCACCTGGCTACTCTGTGCTCCCTACGAGACTGGAGCGCAGGCTCTAAACTTCCGCAGGTTTTAATTAAAACCAAAATGAGGTGTAATCGTCACCATAACGACAACAGCAACATTTAACACTTGGCAGGAGCCATAACAAAGTGCTGGAGGTGTTGGGGACTCCACCGGGGACTGCTCATTCACGAGTAAGCCCAAGGAGTGCTGCTCGCTGAGGTGAGACACCGGCGCTCAGAGGGATGGGGTAAATCAGAATTGTGCTTCTCCAAAAGAGAAGTTTCATAGAAACCCGGATAATGCCAAATGGTCCCTGCGTGGTGGGGCTGGGACAAGCGTGCGCACCCCGTCCCGCCTGCGGTGCTGGCTCCGCCCGGAGCTGGGCCC